TGTTGGTGTCCAGGTCGTGTTGTGATGGTGTCCCGGTCATGTTGTGATGGTGTCCCGGTCATGTTGTGATGGTGGTTGTTGGTGTCCCGGTCATGTTGTGACAGTGTCCTGGTCATGTTTTGATGGTGTCCCGGTCATGTTTTGATGGTGTCCCGGTCATGTGATTCTGGTGTCCCGGTCATGTTGTGATGGTGGCCCGGTCATGTTTTGATGGTGTCTCGGTCATGTTTTGATGGTGTCACGGTCGTGTTGTGACGGCGTCCCGGTCATATTGTGATGGTGTCCCGGTCATACTGGTAATATGCTGGTGTCGCGGTCGTGTTGTGTTGGTGTCCCGGTCATGTTGCGACGGTGTCCCGGTCATGTTGTGACAGTGTCCCGGTCATGTTTTGATGGTGTCCCGGTCATGTTGTGATGGTGTCCAGGTCATGTTCCCCTGTCATGTTGTGATGGTGTCCCGGATGTGTGATGATGGTGTCCAAAAACGAGATGGTCGACGTGTTCCAAACAGCAGGTGTTTGCAGATTTTGTTTGTTGTCCCGGTTTGTATCTTGCTAGCGGGGTCTCCAGCTGGGCTAATTAATTTCCCATTGGTTTGCAATAAGTGTGGCCAATTTGCAGAGAAACTGGCAGCACTCAAGCGCCTCAAAGCACAAGAACACACAGACACAGTTTGTGGTGGGTTGCCATGAAGGTTTCCAACATTTGGCGCACATGATGCAACGTGCCAGGCTCCTTGCGAAGAGTGCTCCGTCACTGGGCATGGCGTCTTGATGTGTCAACCTACTTGGTTCGAAAGGCAGGAGTTTGGTTCTAAGGTCATGAACTCTTTAGCGGATGGCTATTGGATTGCAGAGCAGCTGCGGCGACTGGATGCACATACCTTTTTATGGGCTTGGGCGTGTGCTTGCCGGGATGTGCTGAGAAGCGACCACCCTTGAAACCAAAGGAATCGCATGATTCAATGCAGCTACCTGGCTCCTGGAGAAAGAGGGAAAGCCAGCGAGGGTGAGAGGTGAATTCCCCAAAGTGGCAGTAGTGCTAGCTACTGGACCTGACGAAAACACCAAGGAAGCCCTGTGCGGTTCGGTGCTGAGCGAACGTCGAAGTGAGCTCGGTCTTTTCTATGGCTGCGCAGTGGTACAGTGCGTTGCGGGCATACTTGAGCCAAAATACAAGTGTGAATCAGGCTGTACAGCTACAAAGATACAGATAACAAAATGTACAAGTAAAAGGTGTGGCACACGCAAAGCGTAGACACGTCTGGGGGCACCTAGAACCATGATGAAGAAGAAGAAGAAGAAGAGGACTGCCGCCAAGTGGTGTCGTCCTGGGCACACCTCCAGTCCCTGTTCCTTGCGAGCTGCCTTGCTGCAGACTCGAACTTCCTTGCGACATGCCAATTGGTAGCTGCATTGGAAAGGCTGATGATAGGATGCATTGCTGGACTTGGAGTATTCGTTCACTCGAATCGTTGTCTCCTTTTGTCGAGGCTCACCTTCGAAAGAGGCTTTATCCTTTGATGCTGAAAGCTGCTCGGTTGCGAGGGTAGAACACTCATAATTGCATAGGTGATTATAGGTGATACGAATAATGATTTGCTGCGCCTGCCACGCAAATCACACCAGCAGAGCGGCGGAGACCCAGCGACGCCAGGGCATACATCCGACCCCTGGGAGAGCAGCGTGCCTGCCACGCAAATCACACCAGCAGAGCGGCGGAGACCCAGCGACCCCTGGGAGACCACCAAGTGCTGCACCTGCCACGGGAATCACACGGGCAGAGCGGCGGAGACCCAGCGACGCCAGGGCGTACATCCGACCCTTGGAGAGCGCCAAGTGTTGTGCCTGCCACGCAAATCACACCGGTTGGTGGTTGGCGGTTGGTTGGTGGTTGGTTGGTGGTTGTTGGTTGGTGGTTGGTTGTTGGTGGTTATTGGTTGGTGATTGGTTGCTGGTTTGTGGTTGGTGTGTGGTTGCTGGTGGGTTGTTCTTGCTTGGTGGTTGGTGGTTGTTGGTTGGTGGCCATAAATCCTACGTCGTCAGAACCTAGTATACTACATCTCCTGGAGACTGGTGATATAATATCGTCATCAAAGTTCTGCAAAAGAGAAATTGGCTTAGTGTAGTAATAGCCGTTGGGTCCTTCATTCCAAATGAACACATGTCAGAGACATGTCAAGAGTTCCATAGGTAACACCATGCTGTGACAAAAGACGTTGAAAGCATCGGGTGTGCCATAAAACTGATGAAGCTGGATTCTCTATGTATATTGAAATGATCGCCGTGCTCAACTTGGAATATGGTAATTCGACAGCAAAATCCAACATAGGAAGAAGCTTCTGCCGACGCTGATCTCTGGCATAGCGATCATGGATGTTGATCATTTGGCTCCAAGCAGCACAGCGCGGCGCCCTAAATATGACCTTTGGCCGCTGCTTCTCGATGATCTCCACAGGCCTCTTACGACCGTCGCTGGTTAAGATATCAAAACTTGTTCGAAAATCAATCGCCTGGCCAACTCTCAAACCATTCATGGCTGCTACTTGACTCAACCGTGCTGAACCAGCGAACAATTCAAGAAATCAATCTTACCAGACATAACGGATTGCCATGCATAAGGGGACTATGCGCAACCTTCATCGCCAATCTGTGCTCCATCTCTCTGGGTTAGAGAGCTGGCAGCAGAGACCGGAATATCGGACTCAGGACGCTCCGAAGTCAGAAGTGCAACTGGACCTAATGGCACCTCAACATCTTCTGCTGGATTGGTGTCCTTGCTGACGTTGACCTTTAGGATACGAGTGCCTAGATCTATACCAACCATACTGCCATCAGAACTGATCACCTTGCCTTTGATCGGTTTAACACGGTGTTCCATCGGACTTAACCTTGGGTTTGTCTTCTGTCCAGAAATAAATAGATCTTATCACCAGGGTAAAAGGGACCATCGCTCAACTGAAGTCTTGCAGAAATGTCTCGCCTGAGATCGTCTGACTGTTTGGCTTCTAAATAAGACTTCATGGCAAGTGTTCCAAGGGCAACAATGTTCTTTTCGTGTCATGAAGTGGCACCGTCGTAAATGATCAAGAACAAAAGTTTGGACTTCATATGGTAGTGTTTGAAAAGCAGTTTGAGAAGTTCAGTTGGATGAGACAGCTTTTCATGATTTCTCTGTGTTGAAATTCACCTCATCTCCATGGACCCCGTAGCGTGGACTCAAGGTAGAGTAAAATAGCCCGCTTACCGGTCTTATAGGGTTAGCTAGGTAACTAGTGAAATCCGAGCTGATCCTGTAAATACAGGTTATCAGCCGTAGGCTAACTAGAGTAGAGCTATGGACCCGATGGACGATGACGTCGCACCGAACACCTACGGAAGTGGTTTTGACATTGTTCCAAGTTTACCCAATAGTTTGGATGCAGCTCAACGACATGAGCAGGCAGTTGCTCAGGTGGCAGCAATGGATCCAAGGGTAGCTTCGGAGGTGTACCAACAGATGCTAGACAGTGGTGGCAGTGTTACTCTTCAAGAAACAACGCAAGCTACCCTAGCAGGTATGCCGTCAGCCACCGTAACAGGTGCGCCAACAGTAAACAACTTGTTGGCAATGACTCGGTTCAACGTCGTCAACTTGAATACATCAACAGGTGATGAAGAACTACGACGGGAACTACAACAACACGAGTTTTTACTCAGTGAGCATGCCAGGAGGGAAGCAGAACTCGAAGCATTGCGTTTTAGGCAAATATATGAAAGAGAAGCCTCCGAATCCATAGCAGAAACAAAAGTTGCGGCAGAGCAGGCAATGTTGAATGTTCAACAGAGGGCTCAACAGCAGGAACAAAATGTTCAGCAATTGGTCCAACAGCAAGACAACGTTGCGATCAAACGATTGCAAGGTACGTCGGAAGAGCAAAGAGAACATTTTCAGCAACGGCTAGCTCAGGCAACTAAGGCTCACGAAAGGGTTGTACAAGAGAAGAACGCCTCAACAGAGGAAGGCAATGTATTTGTTGAAAGATTGAAATCTGAACATCGTCAGTATGTTGAGCAACAAGAATCTAGACTCAAGGCAGCAATGCAGGCAACAGATCATGCCAGGTCTTCGTCAGCCGAAGAAGCACGCATAGCCATAGATCTAGATTTCAAGCGCGAGGAGCTGACAAGTTCATTGGCACTTGCACAGGCCAAAATCAGGTCACTCGTTGGTGAAATGGAAGCAGCCAAGAAACAGAACGATGTTGACAAGGAATATTAAGAGCAAACCATTGTTGAACTACGGAAGGACAATGCAATGTTGAAGGGTGAAATGGATGAGCTCAGACGTGTTGTACAGGCCCTCACGGACAGGGAGGAAGAGCGCAAAGAAACAGAGCGCAAGGCACAAGCCGAAAGCCCCGTTAAACCAGGGCCGCAACATTCTGAGCCACCTCCACTTCATGCGCAACCTGATATTTTCCCTATTGGTCAACCCCGTTCACTTGGTCCTCTTCGTACGGAGGGCTCAATTCCAGCAACTGTAGCAGGTTCGCCCCCAGATGCAGGCGGAATTCCTATAAAGACGGCAATGGATGCAAATGCAACAAGCCGCAATACAGGATTTCCTTCAATGTTTTCTGGAACAGGGGCGGCTGCAACGGAACAAGCTACAGCTTCCACGGATAAGCAGCAGTTCAAACCACCAGATCCTTGGACAGAGTATCGAAAGAAGTCGGCGCAGTACAACTTCAGCGATGACCCTTTGTATAAAAGCTCCTTTAACCAGGATGCAAAACAGAACAAAGATGACCGCAAAGACGAAGGGCCGGCATCTCAGGTAAGAACTCCACAAGACCAAGATCTGGGGGAAATCATTAAAAGGGCCTTGCTAGAGGGGTTTAAGGGCGCTAAAAACAAAGACCAAGATAAACCCAAGGCAAAAGAGGCAGATAGAATAGACCTTCCTGAGTTTCCAAGTCCTGACAGGTACCGCACTTGGAGGGCCGCAGTTCGCGAAGCGATCCGGTCCGCGTCCGATGTCCGATGACCCAGACGCCGCGTTCGCGTGGGTGCTTGAGGTTTACGCCGTTCGGGAGGACAAAGCAAAGCTTTGTTCCGAGCTGGCTGATCCAGGCAAGTTTCGGACCTTAGATACGAAACTCCTTGCTGCTTTGACTAAGGTTGCCAAAGGTGAACTGTCTCAGCAAACCCTTAATTACAAGGAATCTGAGGCACAGCAGGGTAGGATTGTTCGTGGTCGTCAGGTTTTGCTCATGTTTGAAGTCCACTTCAAAACTAGCGAGGAAGCGGGTGCATTGTATGGTACGGAAGACCTCCTAAAGATCTCGCTTGACAGCGATGACTTAAAATCCTTTCTTAGGAAATGGGAAAGCGTGTTGACCGGAATGAGTCATGTACCGGACCCAGCAACACTTAAGGATCTTTTCTATAGAGAGGTCAGGAAGTCCCGTAAACTCAGATTTGATCTTGATGTTTATGAACGGGCTCCAGAAGGAAGTAACGACAGAAGCTATGAGTTCCTCATTAATTCTGTTAGACGGTATCTTGACAGAGAAAGGCTAAAGACCAATCGACAGAAAATCTCTCAATCGCATTCAGCCAAATATGCAAATCCAGCACCACATGACAAACGCACACGAAGCCCAAGCTATGGCAAACGAAGTACGAAGGGTGACGGTGGCAATCAATGCTATGAGCTCGCCAAAACTGGCACATGTAAGTACGGTAGCAAATGCAAGTACTCACACGACTCTAGCGCCCGTCCCCGCTCCCTTAGCCGGGAGTCGTCTCGTTCATGTAGTGCAAGTTCGAGTGGTCGTTCATCTTTAGGTCAAGCCGATCCAGGAGCTCATCAAGACCGTCT